CATTAACGTGTCTTATTGTTAGTGTCCTTGGTGAAATTAGACGCCATTAAATTTAAAACGAAATTTGAGTTTGATTTGGCATTATTAATTCTATAACAAGATTTTTATGCCTTGTTTCAATATCGATTTGTTTTAATTTTATATATTTTCTAAGAATTTAATTATTTTTTGAGCAGATTCGTGATTGACTACTTGGATTGTCTACAAAGAGAAACGAAATTTCAATATGGACGACATTAATGACTTTTTGATGACAACCAATCAGAGAAACGGTAACATTTGATTTTTCGTATCAAAAGTAGATACATTTTTATTTTCTTTTTATTGAATTTTAACGATATATATTTATAAAGCAACTCATAGCATCGATATATATATTACTAAAATTATAATGAAACTAGAAAAGAATAAATTACGTTTTTATTTCGGATGTTAAATTTTTTCTTCTAAATAAATTAAATTTATTCTTTCATTATCTCTTAATTAATAATTTTTAAAAATACAAGTATATTTATAACAAATGCTCGATAGAAAAAAGAAATAAAATATCGAAAAAATATTTTGTTTCTTTACCCCATGCTCCTTCTAATATAATTTTTCTTTCAGAAAATTGTGACTGCGTGCAATGTAGTCAATAGAGTCAGTGTTCGTTTCGTAATAGTATTTTAAGTATTTTTTTAGAACATAGCTGTTCTAATTCAATTTAATTGTAATAATCAGTCGCGAAATTAGAGTCAGTGTTTGTTCATCGAATATAAACATTCTTAATATATAATATTATATATATATAATCTATAATATTATATAATTCTTTTATTTTTATATATATATTTTTTTTAATATTCGTCTTCGAGATAGAGTCAGTGTTTCTCAAGAGAATAAGGCGATTATCCATCACGCAAAGAGGTAATTATTTTCATATATTTTCTACTTATTTCAATTTTTTCATATAGAATTGTATTTTAATTATAATGTTCCTTGTGTTACAGTTTCCATTTCCTGATTATTTGGCAATGACATCCTATGAGTGCAGATTCTTCGC